GAAACGCAAGATATTCAGCTATGTATGAAACTTTATATTTTGGTGCTGAATTACTGAAGAGAAGGTTCCCACAATAAAATGAATTATCCACCTTTTAGTATTCTTCTCGAAATCATCATAAATGTATTTTAGTTTTCTTATTCAAAAGTACAGATTTCATTCCAACATTCTAATGTCAAAATGATCAACTCATTGAGCTCTACAAACCCTGAAAGTTGGAGACACTTTGGATGGCACTATGTATAAAGTGGTATGTTTTCCATTGAAATACGTTCAGTGAGAACGTTTTATTTGTTTATCGAGATCGATCTGTCCTGAAACCTTTTAGAACTTTTCATGAATCCGTTCTTGAGAAACCTCAGAAATAGGATGGTACGACAAAGATAATCTATATTAGAGTTTAAGCTTTAGAAGATATCAAGATGATTATCTGCAAAATAGCACGGAACCATATGCCATCATAATCACAACAATTTGGATAGCGGGGTATAGAGTGCTTTGTAAAGGCACGAATTATTTTTAAGTGATGGGACTTTTTGTGAAATACAATTGCTAATATACTTTGTAGTATACAGGCAGTAAAACCAATTCAGTGTGGGCCAAAGACCACCACAAGCATGTCTAGGAAATTCTTTTTCTTGCAGATTGTGACAGAGTAAGCAAGATGGTACGGAAGAATCATATTTGTAACTATCCGAAATTTTGGTGGGATTTAGATTCACTTGTCTCGAAATCTTTCCGGATCGTAAATAAAATCCGAGCTTGGTGATTGAAAAGTCCACTTTTCCACTGTAAGCATTGTTCTTTTGGGTTCTATAGTAGATATCTAGATATGCTGCTCTAAAGACCTATTATATTTTGTTACTCATGTGGCGAGAGTTATTACTGTCCACAAAAGTATTTTAAATGATCTTCAAATTTTAATGGTGTATGGAAGGTCTTAGAATTGGTTTCAATAAAGTATTGAAACTGAAGCGAGGCAGATCAGAGTTGGACATGTATTTCGTAAGATTCTTTGTTCGCAAAGAAAAAATTGTTGGGTGATTTTATCATAGCTGCCAAATCCTTCAAATTCCTTAATGTTAGATGACAGACAATTCCTATTACAAAAAAGTAGATCTCTAATTTGAAGTTGAAGTTGATTGACTATAATAGATAACTTTTTATCTTAATTCCTACCGGACCAAAGTGTGAAAGAGGGGGAAGCCAATCGGTTCGGAAACTAAAATCCTAGTCACATCAAGTCTTGTTGACGTCTACTAGATAAACAAGCATAGTGACATGTCGATCACAGGCTGTGAGGCTAGGATGTCTGTCACGGTCTGTTGAAGAGGGGACAGCGGGAAAGTTGGTTCACGTTTCTTGCTAGAAAGTTTTGACACTAATTTTCAATCATGTTTCACAAAATGCTATCTTATAACCTACGATGTAAAAGTATCCGTACAAATATAGAGACCTGTAGCATTTTAACAGAAAGTACTAAAAATTTATCTCTTGCTTAGTTAGATAGAGCAAAGTCTTTACATTAAAACGCATAATTTGAAAAAAAATTTAATGAAATTAAGATGTCTGAGTTTAATTTTTCCTAAAACTGCCAAAAGTAACCTGTAACCTAGTTAAATTAGGAAGTCCTGTGCTAGCATGCTTTTGTATAAGTTGAACGACTCTATGAGATGCTTTCGATCTTAAGTAGCAATGGATCTGTAATTGAAACAAAAATTGAGTTCAGTCGATCATAGGCTTGCAGTGATACATCCAGAGAGCTCACACCTTACACTATATACTTTATAAGTTTCAGTTCGTTAACGAATCGTTTAATGAAAACATGGTAGTTTATAAATTGAAAAAAGCACGAAAAAAGTTAAAAGGTTACAGGTCATTTTTGGCAGTTTCAGGAAAAATTAAATTCAGACACCTTAACTTGATCAAACTTTTTTTTTAAACGATGCATTTTAAAACAGAAACTTTGCTCTATCTAATTGCATAAGAAATAAATTTCTAACACCATCTGTTGAAATACTACAGCTCTCGACATTTGTGCGGATACTTTTGCATCGTAGGCTACAATTTCATTGTGTCTTGTATTCTATTTTATGTTCAATTAAAGTGGCTTCAACAGAATACTCGAAATGCTTCGAGATACTACGTACACCAATAGACTTTCTACAATAACTGACTCATACATAGGTTTCATTGGATACGTGAATAATAATAACACTTTCAATGTGTTTTCAAGATATTATGGATACTATTTCAATGATTCAATACCAGTCCTTTGTAGCTGTCAGCAAAATCCAAAATGTAATCGACAATCAATGATCTACAATTTATCGCGCCAAGTGCTTTATGTTATTCCGGGCATGGCAACGGGCTGCTTCCCTGTCGAAGCAACAAAGCAATCGACACTATTCTGTTTCTTCAATCAGACATGTATCGATGGTCTTCGTCTTATTCTAAACAAAACTACATACAACCCAATTATGATAGACACACCAGCACTAAATCATTCGTTTTCAAGTCGATACACACCAGAAACAACGATAGACGAAATTGTTGGTAAATTGATGATAGACAATTTCAGTTGGATTGCTTCACACGAGCATTACTATGAATATTGTCGACCATCAGTCTGTTCGTATCGACTAATGAATAGAAACAGTGTTATCGTGATTTTGACTACAATCCTTGGTCTCATCGGTGGTCTATCAAGTAGTTTTCGCTTCGTTATACCTTACCTCGTCAAAATCTGCAGCAGATTGATAGATACTTGTCGTGCGTATCATAGACGTCGAACTCAAATTCAGCCACAATAATCAATCTGTAGTTAGAATCAGGCTACAATTATTTTACATACTAAATTCTGTTTATTTTCTCAATAGTTAGAACCGTAGATTCACTTATATGCTTCATTATATTCTTAAAAATATAAAGCACTGTAAAACATCACTATGTGAACACCTCTCTTTTATGAACACTTTTTTTGTCTCTGCTTATAGATAGCTCCTCTTATATGAACATTCATAATCGGCAAGATGGATCACATTAATGTTTAAGAGAAGACCTACGAGACTATTATCTAAGCTGAGTACCGAAAAATTTTAGATTTTGAAACTAACTAAATTATCTACTTGAAGAAAAAAAAGAGCACTGGGTATTTTTCACATAACTCTTGACCGGAACGTGATAGAAGGAGGTATGTGCAAATTTCTGAAACAGGAAATTTTAGAAATTTCGTTTTTATGAAAACCACACGATCGTACAGAGGTACAAATTTCTGAAGTCGTCGTTTTTGGAAATCTGCCGATTTCGGCTTTTTATCGGACCTAAGCGAATTTCTGATAGATTTTGCGGAAACCGATAACTTGTTTCTCTAGATCGGTATGTTCATAACTTTAATCTATCCACATTGTAAACTTATGTTTGCTACATCAGTTCTGAAATTTTCAGATTTTTCTGGCTTTTTCTTGGGAAGCAGGACCAAATCTCCTAAATTTTATTTCCGCTAAAGAGCATGGTCTTTCTTCAAGATATTGCATTTTCAAGTGAAAGACCTGAGTATGGGTATGGATGTGGGGTATGGGATGTGAGTGTGAGTGCGGATGTGTAGTATGAAGATATCAGTCTAAGTTTATGTGCTGATCTGGATTGATGTGTACATATGTGTGAGTGTAGGTGTTGCGCATGGCTGTGATGTGGGAGTCTGTGTTATTACTAGTGTGAGTATGTAGTGTGGGTCTCAGGTTATGTGTCCGTCTGAATTTGTATGGCTGTTGGTGTGCGCGTGTAGGCGTCGGGCATGATTGTGGTATGGGAGTCAGTGCTACTGCGAATGTGGATGGGCTGGCTGTAGATGTTGATGGGGATGAATATAAGGCTTCACACACTAACATTCACACCCATCACAGACATCCTCAACACCTACACTTATACCCGCAGAGCCGCATCAAGACGGATGTGGGTGTGAGATCCGGGCGCGAGGTATGAGTAGGTCTTGGTGTGGATATGGTTCCTGCCTTCATCCACACCCACATACTCCCCACCCACACCATTGCTATTATACCATCCAACAAAATCTTTAGCAGAAAGATACCATTCTCTAATGTTTTCCCACCAGAAATATTTAAACAACGTTCAGCAGATAAACCATAAGCAAAAAAACAATACGAAAAAATTCTTGTAATTCTTTTATCTGTTCATATCCAGCTATTTTTTTATTTCCGGATTATTAGGTGCAGAACTATCATATCGATTGAGACTGAAAAACTGAAGGTGATTTTCCAATAATAGCAGTCGTTCCCGGTATTATTTGGCGAAGTTTAACTAAATTTTATATTAAATACAAACCAGATGGATCACTGCCTACGATACAAATGCGTATGAGTGATGAAGGTAACATAGAATTGTTGGTAACCATTGTAAGTGATCGTCGAATAAGGCTATACAAAACAACGTCCATTAAAATGAGTAAACACTGACGAAATATTGAAGATACTTCTAGAATATAAAATATGGAGAATAATTACTATAAAAGTTTTCAATGTCTTACTTGTAAATATTCTTTTTCTAAAGATAAATATAAATATTCATACTCAAAACTCATTTTCAAATTTCGCAGTAAAGTTTTTATGACTCTTATAATTTACGTGATAAGAAAAAAAAAGACTTCTTGAATATAAAGTCTAGTAGCTATCGAGGCTTTAAGAGTGATTTTTTATTCGTTCTACAAAACAGATTTGTCTAGTTTACTTAATTAGTTATGAATAGAAATTAAAATTTTCGATTTATCTCTTTAGAAGAATTTCTATGAAATGAAAAAAGTTTAAATATTTAAATTTTTTTTCTATTGCTCATCTTCAATCGTATTTATGAACATCTTATCTATTAAAGATAATCAAATACCATGTTGAACATGTTTTCTTTTCACATTGAATATACAACAATAGAGAAAGAGAAGACGTAATTCTGTTTTTCAGTTTTTGCTTTTTAATTTCAATCATAGGTCACTCGCTTGTATTGAATCGTGAATCAGATGGTGTATATTCTTCTTTTCCTTTAAAATAGATGATACGTGAAAGATTAGTATCTCCATTAGCAACTGCGACAGTTTCGTTATTTGTTGTTGAAGAAGGTATTGCATGTTGTGTAGTTGTTCTAGATAGTATTCGTAGTCGAAAATGATCATGATAATTAGGAAATAATTGTATCAAAACGAACACATTGAGTATATGTTAAGACTTTATCTTTCAATAAACTCACCTTCGTTAATTCATCTATATATTAATGATAAATTCTAAATCTAAAAAAAAACTAAAAAAGAGACAAACCAGATGAATTATTCAATTTCAAATAATAATCTGATGAAGGATAACAAGCAGCTCGTTCTAAGATTATTTTCTTCCACATGAATTATCACTTTCATTGAAAGCTTTGCTAAAATAATGAACAACGGCTAACTAAACAACAAAATGAATAAAAAAAAAAGACAAAACAATAAAAATAGAACATTTACCAAGCGATTAAAAATTAACTTCTCAAATATAACAAACTAGTATAGGGTGTTGATGTGGATGTGTGTAGATGTTGGAGTCTTCTCTTTACTCACACCTACACCCCATACCTATTTGAACGAATAGACAAGAAGTATTTTATTCTTCATAATATTGGTATCGCATAATCCCCACTTTGAACATTTAAAGATAGGAATAAAAGTGAATTTTCAGCGACACTGTATTCTGGCGGCAAGGCATGCTAGAGATAAAGGTTTATCAGTTTTATGACTACATGCGAAAGTGTGCTGGTACGAAGATAGACTCTTCTTGATATAAAAAGCATGATAGGTTTTCGAATTCTCCCAGCGCCTGTTTCTTTCTGTTGAAAGTCATTCACAACATGCACAATCATCAATAAAGTCTATCTCATAGCACAAGGCGAATTTCGGATGAATCCATCTTTGCTAGGAAAAGAAAGCACTAGATGATGAAATATCATCGTACGTTCAGCAAAAATAGATAATTTTTATCATTGCCAAAACAAGATGATAAGTAGGAACAGGTGAGCTTAAGTTAAGTGCAAATAGATGCATTGTGAACCATTTCTAGCAGAAAATAATGGCACGCAATACTCAATAAACATTCCGAGTATTGTGAAGCATCTTCAATTTTACATATTTACTAGAAAATGGTCCGATGCACATTCCACGAAAATAGAGCATATCTGTACACTGACATAAAAACTGTCGTATATATCGCACTTTGCTACATATACGAGAAATGGGATTCGAATCTACCCTTTAGAATGTCTGTAATCTTTTAGCTGTATCATCAAAAAATGATTACTTTTCCAGTTTAATTGAAATTAATAATACTTATCTTTGGAGTCAACAACGTTAACATCTTAAGATCTAGTCAATCCGAGTTGATTTGATCTCGATCAGATCGATAAAATGTTTGTGACACACGTTCATAGCATACTTGAAATATCTAAGAAGTGCTAGATGATAGCTTTGGTATACCATTAGTGCACGTTGAAGTAGGAAATTTTCGCTTTTTTTCCCCTCGTGAGTTGAGCTAATCGAATCAGTTGAACATTCGCATAATTGCAATTTTGTTAATCCTACAATGCATTGTTTGAACACATAATCGAAGAACACTCGAATGAGAATAGTGACAACTTGAAAGTCTAGTTTGAAAATACATTGAACCATTTCGTCCTTCATAGTAGAGTCAGGCACTCATCTAGAACGACAATGGTCGATGTTTGAGTCCTGCACAGTTATGACCATTCATAAATTAACCGAATCGCACAGCAATCTATCCACAGCGCAACGGAACACCGATATGACCAATTATTTGTGAAACCTGCTGAATAGTTCTGAGAATGTGAGTTTCACATTTTATCACCATCATGGTTTACTCTGACAAGCTTTTTTTTTGATTTTCAAGCACTTTGAAAAAGATTGACTCTCTCTTGTCATATTCTAAATACTATTTGATATTTGACAAACATGTAAAAACTAATATTCATATTGTAATTCAAGCTAAAATTGGGTAAAGGTAAACTATCTTCTATCTATTTGCAAAGATTATAAAAATACCATTCCGAGAAAACTTTCAAAAAGAAACAATTTAAATCAATCTCATGACGATATGAAAGTAAAAAAGAAAAAACAAAAAGAACATTCGTGATAGTATCATGTTCACGACAAAAAAGTAGCCATAGTCTCAGTCACTTCATTGTATCACATGGGTAGGTATGGAGGTAAAAGCTATATTATCTGTCGCACAATAGCGAGTCGAGTTCTAAAATGTTCAGCTGCTAGTTGTTTTAGATTGTTGCTCGTCTTCTTTCGATGAGCTTCGCATTTATCTAACTGTTCCTTGATTTCCAATAAGATACGCATCAAAATTTCATCTGCTTCCGACATGCAATCCAATGTTTCGCGAATCATTCGTTTCATATTCACTTCGCTCAAAGTTTCGTCGAACATCATTTTAAAAACAAAATTGTCCTCCATTATGTACAGATTATCAATATTTGGCATATTTGGATAAATACACTTGGCTTCATTTATGAATTGTTGTGCTTCAACTGAGGCATTTCTAGCTTGAGCCAAGTAAGAACCGTTGGCCATGTCAGCAAATGAACAAGTAGAAAATAAGTCGAAAGTATTCATATCCAGTGCTTCGTTGAGTGTCTGACGACAGACAATGATGGCTTGATAAGCTTTTTCCAAGAAGTAAACGACACGAGTCAGAATGCGATGATTGTTCTGTATGGTGGTTAAATTTGCTTCTTCCTTTTTTAAATTTTGTTGCATTATATCTTCCTCGGGATAAGACGATGTAGCACCAGAAAAGAAATACTCCAATAATTCATTTAGTTCTTTTTTTGTCTTTGCATACTCTTCATAGGTATCTTGACATTGTTGCAAATATGTTTGAGCTGTATTGATTTTTTCTTTTAGAAGGAGCAAACGTTGTTCTTCTTCTTTGCACTTTTCAAAATCTCGCAACCATGTCATTTCTTGTTCATCCAAATGTTGTTCTAGCTTACCTCGAATCTTGTACCAAACATGTTTAACACCATGTCCTTTAATGTTGACTAAACGTTCGTACTCCTT